GGTAATGTAATTGGCTTGCATATTTTATAATTCAATTAGCCCTAATAATAAATAGATACATATGCGTGTAAAAACGATTAAGAGGCTGATATTATCTAGGTAATTGAGGTTACTTTGAACCATCTTGCAGGAGGACTTTCGTAGGGCCAAGCGGAGTATATTTCTATATGTTTATAAGTATATATTCAGAGTATTTCTAGCGCATCGAGACAAAACAAAAAATCTCTACCATTAAAATATACCCGCAAATGTCTGGCATAACGAACACAAGGCAATAAATTCATTTCCTTGATTAAAATAAATAAAAAAATTAGTAATGTATTTGTTTTGCAGATCTTTCTCGACTTCATCTTGATTTTCAAGTCATTTATTGAGATAATAATTGTATATAAAGAAATTTTATTATCGCTGGCATTACGAAAAGCCACGTGTTTTTAGCGCATTTTCTAATTTATGAAAAAATGCACTATTGTGCTCGCCATGTCCGTCTGTCCGTCCGTCTGTCTGTCCGTCCTTCCGTCAGTCCGTCCGTCTATCTGTCCGTCCGTGACTTCACGTTTTCGTCGACGAAAAAATGCGCTCTCTGTCACTCACTGCAGTGAGTACCGAGTTATATTTTTTTAATATTACAAAAATGTGCAAAACGCAGGTGAGAAACTGACCCATCACATGCAAGCGCGGATTTCGATGGCTTGGGGAAAAAATAATGAAAAATAAATAAAAAATTTGGTTCATGCTCGCACCATAGTCTCAAAAATATTACTGGGAATCAAAGATAAATTTGAACGCGTGAAAATCAGGGTAAAAATGAATGCATTCAAATAAATGCCATTGGAGAACAATATAAGCATCCGCGACTCTTGAGAGTATTCACTGAAAATAAAATGTTCTATGTATAGGCAGCCACTAAATTGTTTACTTCAGTTAGAGGCGTCGATTGATGTGCCATGTGCTTGATGTGTTTAAAAAAATGATGGCATTGTAAATAAATGGTAATATTCTACAATGTTAAAAATCGGCGACAGGCCTATACGGCCTAATAAACGCCGAAACCGCTATATTAATCGGCCCTAGAAATAAACATTTTACGTGGCAGCGAGTTATATTTTTGCTCACATATAATCTTCATTTCCAGTGCCTCATTTTACGCGAGTAAGATATGTGAGATCCTCAAACACAATGATGATTGATTCCACAGGAAATCTCTGAGTTCTTTTCCAAGCAAAGCAATATATTTCCGGCCAATAAATAACTTTACTAGTGATATAATCTTTCTCGTTGTTGTATGAAATCATTCAACTAGAATATGTTCAGCTTTAGATTTTGACCTGCTCTTGACAACAACTTTCTTCTGAAATAAATGACTCTATAAGGATTAAATCTTTTCGGAACAACTCTTTTTCGCGCGTGAATATGAGCCAACCAATTTTTAACGTTCATAGTAAAAATAAGATCATGCGACGCAACGCATAATCACCAGCAGTAAATATATCCCCTTAATAAAACTGGCTTTTTGAAGCTAAGATGGCCCCATTACTGCACTTTTTCAAGAACTCGGCAGCTCATTTTGACGGGGACATTTGTTTGGGCTATTTGTATAGTCTCCGGATTTAAGTTATCTTTTAAGTGATAAAGTTTGCCACTTAGACGCGGCTGGAGTCTCAGCAAGCCTCTCATCGTTCATCGTCTCTTGACAGAGCGGAGAGTAGCACAAGTCTTGTTTAAAGTCAACGTGAATGCAGACAAAAAAATCACCAAAAGGAAGAAACAAAACACGCCATTAAAAACATATTGATCTCACCACCGTCCAAGATATTTTATTGCAGCAAATTTCTTAGCTATGAAAACAGTTCCCACAGTGCGCCAGTCAAACACACACGCAAAGGGAAGGCTTATATAGTTGTGCTATTATCATCCTTAATACGAATGGAAAACAACAACAACTTCTTATGTAAGGTAGTAATTTTTATGCGTTTGGAAATGTTTTGGTTCATCGTAAATATTTAGGTTTAGGCTGATGTCTGGCAAAAACTGTTGAGTGAAGGAAATTGCATCCGGACTGAAACAGACCCTATAATGGTGAATTAAAGAAAGATATTTGATAAGGAAAGGTATTATACGCTATGAGGATAGTAAATTTACAAAAATTACTGATAATCCTATTACCAAAAATTGATTGGTTCTGGAAACTCTGGTTTATAACGTTACTGAGGATTACTATTTGCTCTTTTAGAACTGATTGATGTGAGTTTAAATGAGACTTCGGTAATGCAAATTGGGTTTGAGAGGGTAATATGTAATGAAATACAGAACATATTGCAAAATAATATGTCAATAAATTATATCAATCAGTTCTAATGCAAGACGATTTTCTTCACGATGAAACTGATTTAATACCGAATCAAAAATTAGACCCAAAGCAGGATCCAATATTGAGAATCTGCTTTTTCCTCCCCTAAACGATGAGAAGCAACTTAACGTCCCATTGCATGTGCATTAAGTCACACTCTTGGCATGCGTCTTATTATTCGCAAGAATTATTAAATAGGCACGCAAGTCAAGGAATTTTTTCCCATTGCCTTCACGAGCGGGTGACGAGCTGCTAGCACCCGTCATATAATAAGGTCTATATTTATTCATTAAATGCTCTACGGTTTAAAATGTTGTAGTATTTTAGCACAGGGCAGAAAAAGTAGATCCTCTTAGGCAAAGCTTCTTTACGACGTTCCTCCATTAGACTTTGACAGATTTGTGGTGTTCCACCTACGCCAGTTTCAAATTTTCATCTTATAACACTGCATATTGCGATTCAAAGTCAGAAATAGCTCTAGAGTAGGGGTTACGAATATTATTCCATTAGACCTCAAAGACCTGCAAACGAGAAAAATTTTACAGTTTATTACATAAACTTGACAAAATTTGATCATTAGACGCAACACCATATAATATCAACACTAACTCGGTCGGGTGAGGACACTTATTCTTTTCCGAGATGTAAATGTTTAAATTGACACAAATTTATTAAAAGCAAGAAATTATTCAACACAAATTTGTATCAGCGTTCATTTAACCATAGAAATAGTGGAAGTTGAGATCAAACTGCAAAAGAATCATGAGTAAAATATCATGATGTATTTCTAAAGTTTAGAAACACACTAGATTTGATGATACGCATTTTTCCATTTACGATAAGTTATTTGTTTAAAAAAGGACCAATATCCAAGAAATTTCATCCAAGTATCAATAGTAAAATTTTTAACTAGTTAACAATAAAATATAAAATATTTGATTCAAAAATGGGTCGAGTAATACTTCATGAACTGTAATCATTGAATTTTGAATGAAAACATGAATTTTAGTGTATTTCAAACACAACAAAACGAAATAAATTATTTTTCGCACTGTATTACTAGACGGAAGCAGGTGCCGATTTCATACCAACATGTTTAATGAAATAAGTTCTCCGAAATTCTATTTTAACTTGACTTTGAAGTAATCGTTAATCCGTGTTTTCAATCGCAATTCATTAAAATCAAACGTCGTTGCAATCTGGAATCTACACTCGCCGTAACAGTTTTATGTGAAGGCCACATTTTTTGAAGACAATTTTAAAATCAATGCTTGATTTGTCTGCAAGTCAACTTGAGCCGTGAGAAGTCTATTTTCATACTGCAAACTAATATATCAATTCCACTCAGTTGAACTCCTTCCTATTCTCAATTGAACTCCTTCCCTTTCTCAATTAAACTCCTTAACTCCATTTAAATTTGTGAGCAAGACTAGGTTGGCCCTCGCGTATGCATGAGTTGCAGCCTTCATTTGTTTTGCCATCCCAGTTAAGCTGACATCGTTCATTGGCATTCGTCGCCTCGCACTTCGCGAGCGTTTGTATGTGAATGAGAAGCCAACAGAGAAAATAGCGAGGAGGCTTGGGAAAATAATTCTAGAATCCATCTAAATATGTCTAAATCTAAAAAATAAGAATCTAAATAAATATGTCATATCTGAAATACAAGTTTATGGTATTTTAGAATTTGGTGACAGTTGACTAGCTGCATGGAAACCACAAGTAAATCATGTAGATGTTATGTTTTTTTTAAAAAGTGAAATTGGGAAACGGGATTAGAAAATTACTGTCGAATTTCATAGCATTTGACGGATACGAATTTTTAAGTTCATCGGGTAAAACTTGAAAGAAAATTCTAGTAACTAGATAACGTAATTAAATCTTTAAAACCAACATAACTGAGGGATTAGATTCTCTAAATGATAATTCTACTTCACAGTTGGATCTGCGATCCACTTCATACAGCTAGCATTGAACCCGGAAGAACAAGTAAGGGGAAAAATCGAGTAGTTTACTATGCCTGACAACGTAGGGAAGCGGCAAAATACATAGAACTATTACATGTTATTTAAAGCAACATATGACACTTTACATAGTTTAGATTTTTTGTGCTTACAATGTGATTTGCGATTCAGCAAGACTAACAAAAAAGACTAATTAGTGAGATGCAAGACTAACAAAAAAGATTAATTGCATGGCGATAGATTCTTTCTTATAAAATAAACGGGGCGTTTACTAGTAAAATTAATCACACAGTTTATAATTTTGCAACATTTAAAATAATAATGAATGTCGATTCCGTTCAACTTATATTCTCTATCCATAGTAAAATGAAATTTTTTGCCTGGCGATCACTGTTTTTTTTTCAGGTAATCGAAGGCTTAATTTTGGAATAACTTAAAAAAAACGGAGCGACTTGGGCCTCAGGAGTTCTTAAAATAACAGAACTAAACGACACATAAAGCAAACATGAATCAAACGACACCAAGTGGTGTTGACAATAATAACTCTAATCAATAGAGTAGTAAGAAATAATCAGCAGTACTCAGTATCAACTCAACTCAGTAGAGTTGTCTCTGGTGCTATACATGACTCTGGTGCTATACATGACTCTAGTGTTTGAGATGCTGCCTCCATGAGACGACGTACTGACCTTCACGAGCTGACTGTCAACGCCCATCTCTACGACGTCCATCGAGTAGCCCTGACGTCGGCCACTCTCCGTGAAGCTGATGTTGCCCGTCAGCCCTTCTGCCTCCACCTGCTCACAACAATTCGCTGTATCACACGGTGCAATAGTACAAGATCACGGTAAAATAATACAAGATCAAGGTACAATAGTACAAGATCAAGGTACAATCTGTCTCTTATACACATCTAGATGTGTATAAGAGACAGAGTATACACTGTCTGTAGGTAGCAAACCAATAGTTTATATTGCTCAGTATACTGTCTGTAGTGAGCGAACCAACAGTAAATATGGTTCAGTAGCTCAATGTTTTGTTTGAAGTGAGTAAGTCAACAGTGTATAATGTTTCGTTAGTGAGTATACCGTCGAAATCGGACGAGTTCAGTTCATAAAGTTCCACAAGTTCAGTACAATGTCGGAATAGGACGAGTTAACAGTTTATAGGGTTCCGTTACTCAGGATACTGACTAAAGTGGGCGAGTAACAGTTACAGTGTTACCCATTCAATTTACATCTCATTCCCGGTGGTAGCAATCAACTCTGGCACATAAAGTTTTTTCATGTCCGAAAATAAAAGTTTTAATCAACCGACCTGATGTCTTTCAAAGAATTTCATAGTCCCTGAGCGCTTAGTTTAGTGGTGAACGCAGTCAATGGAAACTGATGCGTGGCATGTGTGAAAAAAAAAACTTGCTGGGACATTATATGTTCGCTTACCAGTCGGTATATTTGTTATAATGTTAAAGAGGATTTGTGTGAACTAGTAATCGTTGCATGCAAATAGCAACAAATATCAATTAACGCTAACTTTACATTAGTTTGAAAGTTTCAAGTGTTTTTCTACTTAATGTACAGTTGTTGGCTTACGTTTTTTTCGAACGTATGCGTTTTTGAAAGATGTTTTAATTTGTTGAATTCAGATATTTTTTCATTCGTTAATAAGTTTTGGTTAACGAAGAACATTCTTTTGGGAGTTTAAAGGTAAACGCATTTATATCTGATTTAAAGGTAAAGTATTTTTTATCTGATTTAAAGGTTTTTACGTTTCTGATTTAAAGGTAAACGTATTTTTATTGTGTAGAGAAGAAAATTGTTGAGGTAGAGAAGAAAATTATGCATCGGCAAATGAATGCGAAGTAATATTAAAAACATGAAAATATACATCAAAGCGAAATAGCTGACTGGTTAAATGTAAATACTTACTCCTGAGATAGTGCAAGTTCTGTATCAGTGAAGACGCGTAAAACTTTCGATTCGTACCTCAAGATATATAATGAAATAATTTTATGATCGGACACAGTGAAAAAGCATTGCTGAGACCTCGGCTTAAGCGACTTTTCAGTAATCAAGTTTCCAAAGAACTTTATAGAAATTCTTCGATCCCACAATATAGTTTCGGAAAGTGGAATTATAATTTATAGCAGGGAAACCTTTCAATTTCTAATATTTTTTAATAATGATGCCAAGACTAATTGCAATAATTATAAATATACAATATGTAAGGCAATTAAATTATCGAAATATTTCGCTCGTAAATCAAATCTAACTTACAGAAAGAATGTATGAATAAATATGCTACATTAAGACCCTACGAAATTGCAATAAATAACACTTTCGATATCCATGATAGACCAAAATTGTTGAGTATTATTTGGAAAATATTTTGTTGACGTCCAAAAATAAATTGTTTCACACTTTTTTGTTAACCGAAATTGAACCTTGACTAAATCAGCAGTCAAAATTCAATTTTTCCCACATTATCACCAACATAGATATGAATTGTTACTTTATGCTATATCGGGAGGATCAGAATTTGAAGTTTTCAAGCTGAGTTAATGTGAAGCCTCATTTGAGGTTGAGTGACTGGGCCTCTCGATCACAGCGGCTCTCAAACTGACTTAATGAACGATTTCTTGAAGCGCTTTGAAGTTCATCATCCGAGCCCCGCGCTGCATTACCGACTTATGATCCATTGAAATTGGCTGGCTGAAGTACGGGTATATTAATCATGTCAGGACCATGCCATCATATCCTTCAGTAATGCGGCGTGTTCAACAGGAGTAAATGATATGCATTAGCACTGTGTCCTGACGGTCGCTAATCTAGGAAGATCGGTGCGCGAGTTTCTAACTGGGGTGTGGGAATATATGAGCTCGGTGCACGAGTTTCTAACTGGGGTGTGGGAATATATGAGATCGGTACACGAGTTTCTAACTGGGGTGTGGGAATATATGAGATCGGTGCACGAGTTTCTAACTGGGGTGTGGGAATATATGAGATCGGTGCACGAGTTTCTAACTGGGGTGTGGGAATATACGAGATCGGTGCAGAGTTTGTAACTGGGGTGTGGGAATATACGAGATCGGTGCAGAGTTTGTAACTGGGGTGTGAGAATATATGAGATCGGTGCAGAGTTTGTAACTGGGGTGTGGGAATATACGAGATCGGTGCAGAGTTTGTAACTGGGGTGTGAGAATATATGAGATCGGTACAGAGTTTGTAACTGGGGTGTGGGATTTATGAGATCGGTGCACGAGCTTCTAACTGAGGTGTATGGGAATATATGAGCACGATGAACCACTTTCTAACTGGGGTGTGGGAGACATGAGATCAGTGAGCAAGTTTCTAACTGGGGTGTGGGAATATATGAGATCGGGGCTTGCGTTTATACCTGGAGTGTTGGTATTCATAATATCGGAGCACGAGTTTGTAACCGGGATGTGAGAATATATAAGCGCACCAGATATATAAAATCGAAGGACGACCTGCGATCTGGGGTTATCAATAAATAAAATCGGTGCACGAGTTTCTAACAAGGATGTGGGAATATATAGGATCTGGACGCGTTTCTTAACAAGGTAGTGCGAACTTATAAACTTCGTTATCGATCATGTCACAAGTTCTTATTAGTTGACTTGAAATGTTAGACGACGTGCCGCAGTAATCTATATCATAAACCCCGATGGTCAGAGTAAATGTGATTGAACGTTATAACAGTTTATCTGGCTATTTATTTATTTATTTATTAACATTTGACGGCGACAACCAGAAACTGGAAAGAAGGGATACGCGGTGCTAGTGATTCGATAGTGGTAAGTTCTGGACGCATGAACGAAACGCCGGTGAATCATCGACGTAGCATCGACGAAGCCAAGCGTGACTCCTATGCCTAGCGTCAGGTTCCAAGTAAATCATGCATAGCACGCCGATAACGCGCACACGACCGCCTACGAGACTAAATAAGATGTGTGGCCGCTTGTGGTTCAGTTACTATATATTTGTAATCAGACATTCGATTGTTTATACATTTCAGGAGATTATTTGTAATTTACCGAAATTCATTGTAAATGCCATGAACAAACTATTCTTGAACTTGATTTACTGTCAGGAGCACGGGTGTAAATATTTAGTATAAAAATATGTATTTATAAATATTCGGCGACAATTTATTCGGTACCTAAATATATTCTTTATGAATTTTATATTCGGTAGCGAAATATATTCCGTATATATATTCGGTGAAAATTTTTGCATATGCCTTAATCAATGTAAGCAGCATAACAGAAATTACAAAGCTACGCAAGGGAGAGAAGTAATAATTTGAATTAAAAAATTTAACTCGCAAAATTATTTTCATATATTCAGTGTCGTAGTGTAATGTTCTAAAATACTGTATGGGGGACTAACATAAAGTCGCTATTACGACTGAAATGAAATAATTTTACTTTGATTTCAAGCCATTCAACTTGGCCTCAATAGCCTTAATTGTGACACCCCATGCGTCGTCTTCTTGAAGTGACTGAAATGAGTTGCCAAAAGTGGATCCGAAAGTGGAATCTCTCACAAGTGGATATAACGCTTCAGAAAATGAAGAAGGAAAATTTGTTTCTAATCGAAATTTGCGAGGAAAATTATTTGTTTACAAAATTTACAAAATTTAAGTTATAATGCAAAAATATTTATGACGAGGCGACTCGAGTATACACATCGACTGAGACATTCCCAATTATATTTTCAGAAAATTCTCTCGTAATAAATGTATATCGGAAATCACTGAAGAAATATAATAGCTTAAACAGGACATGAAAAATAAATAAAATAAATCAAGTGTGAAATTCATATGAGTAATATTTATGCATCGTGTCACCGACTTGGCAAAATGAATGCATGTAGTGACGTTGTCTCGGTAAGTACCCAGATGCATACATTGACACGGTCATGGCACAATGCCAGACGCATTATAAGTGGTACTGTCTTGATGCAATAACTCTTTCGTTTTGTTTTGTGTGATCTTGCATCGTGTTATTGTTAGTTATTCAAAGTAATTTATAACTAGTATAGTATGTATGTATAGTAATGTATGTAATTTCAATACACAATGTCTCATCAATGCAAAGTTACTGTCATAAAATGAAGATAATTCACGCAGTGATGGTGATTCGATACAAGATCTTCTATACAAGCTTCTTCTCAACACGGCTCACATTTTCAAAAGTAATAAAGTAATTATCAGAATTATGATTAACGATTAAGAATTTGAAGGTAAAGAAATTTCTAAAAAATTAGATACATTTTCTTTGAAAACTTCTTTCGTGGGAATATTGAGAACTTTGTTGGATTTATTTTGCGAGTGAATTGGCGATATAAGTTATCAAATGATAGAAATGAAAACAAAAGCTTAGGCTAAAGATAAGTTTGACATAAATGTCTCACTTGAATTTATCGCTAAAGTACCTTTTAGAGGAGAATATCAATTGAGCAAAAATAATTACACCAAGAAATTTGCACTTTCAATAGAAAAATGCAATGAATAAGGTTTGTGATGCAAACTTCTTTGATATTTTTAACCAATGACTAATTTATTTACTAGAATTCAATAATTCGTGCTGAAATCGGTCGAGATTACACGTGGGGTTTGAAAACCCAACTCAATCCGAATCTTCTAAAAATACGCGAATAATGAAAATAAAACGCGCAAGACTCATGAGAAATTTGATGTTATTATTTTCTCACATTCACGCGAGCGAGAATTTGGTTTTGCTGCTG